CTTAAGAAAACTAGGTGAGGTCTCACCAATATTGTCTGGTCATTACTGATATTTGGAGTGTCAAATCATTTGGTCATGACTACCCATCAGTATAAATAATCATTGAATTATAATAAAATAACTACACAGAATCACTTTTAAAATATGATCTTTGAAATAGTCTTTAACGAATTACATGTACAATTTGGCCAGGAAAATAGCAGTGACATTGTCACTTGACTAGTCTTTATTTCCAGGGCTCTATTCATAAGAAGGAGGCCTGCGTTACTTTTTTCATTAATAGGAAAGAGAGGGAGGGGGCAATAAGCAGTGTACTCCTGTAGATCCATAATGAGAATGTTGTACTGTATGTATTGTAGGTCAAAAGTAGATTTTAGGCATGGTAATGTAACAGATATAATTATAATATTATTATAGAGATAAGTGCAACATTTGGTGTCATCTTGACAGTTTTTAATTTCTTTAGATAGCGCTGTTACAATGACACTGAAACATTGCACTTTTCTCTGTTATATAAGACTATTACAAGTATTATGTACAGCCTTTTGCAAAAATTATGAGAATTGTTGAAATATCTAAATATCATAATATCGAGTGCATGATGGGTAATCCCGTGCGATGCCCTTAGTCCCTTGTCTTTGTAGTTTAGGTTTTTTTTGGCGACAGACTTATTCGTAGTTCTGAACATTTTCTCAATGTCAACAATGAATTATTCTAGCAAACCCGCGTGTTCCGGACAATATATGGATATGGATATTATGATATTTCGACAATTCTCATAATTTTTGCAAAAGGCTGTATTTAAAAATAATAACACAATAAAACTGACATGTAGTATTCAAATAATTTGCAGGTCTCAGTGCACCAGTATATAAAGGAATCATGAAGAAAGGATACAAAATCCCTACTCCAATACAAAGAAAGGTATGATATAATATCTAGTAGGGCTCTAACATTATAACAGTGAAAAAGTTAATTCTTTAGTAATCCAAACAGTGCAAAATTTAAAGCGACTTCTGCACATTTTTATTGTATTTTACTATTCAGTACATTCCCATACCAGATCCTTTTCAGTTCAACTGAAAATCGAAGGATGTAGAATGATGATGGAGACGATACCTGAGCACCCAGAATCTAGGTCGTATGATATGGTGTATGGGGATTTTTACATGTAAACCAATCAAATTATAGAATCATTCCTTTCCAACCAGAGTTGTTAAGTTTGTGGTGAGAAGGATCTGAGTCTGAGAATGTACTTAGGACTATTTGTTTAACTATTTTTCATGGCCTTAGACCCCATACATAATGTTTTAAGTTCTTTTCTCAGGCTATACCAGTTGTTATGGATGGAAAGGATGGTGTAGCAATGGCAAGAACAGGTACTGTATCATCAAAACCTTTACTCTTTTTGGCAGTTCAAGAAACAAGCCCAGGACAAATTACAAATTGAGAAATTGTAAACATAATTATTGAGAAATAGATCCTTTACATGATGCCTTTTGTCTTGATGATTGTCTTTTTAGGATCTGGGAAAACAGCTGCATTTTTGATCCCAATGTTTGAGAAACTTCAGTCTCATTCTGCAAAGGTATATTGAATAGACACAATTATACACCAGTAATAAAAAGCTAAAAAAAAAATAAAATAAAAGCTAAATTGAATAATTGATTTTTTTTTCAGACAGGAGCAAGAGCTTTGATTCTTTCACCAACAAGAGAACTGGCTATGCAAACACTCAAGTTCATTAAAGAGGTTCAGACATTGTTTAAGTTTAATATTCATTTATTATGAAGTTGTTTATTTAGCTTTATTTTGCATTACTCACACAGATGTTTTGTGGATTGTGCGCTTTAAATCATATTATGATCCCACATATGCTCAATACAGTAAAAGCTGTATATCTTGTTTTGTTTCCAAAGATTGGTCGTTTCACAGGTTTAAAGTCTGCTGTTGTYCTTGGTGGGGACAGTTTTGAGAGTCAATTTGCAGCAATACACAAGAATCCTGACATGTGAGTCATTTTATCCTTTTCAGTCTATAGAATCAATAGTCATTTATTCATTTCTTTTCTCATTCATTCAWCCAATCTCTWTGCTTATTCAACCTTTCATTYATTTCATCTGCTCAATTGCTCAGCCATCCATCCATCTSTCCATTCAGTCGTTCATCCATCCAAAAAATTGATTTTTTTCATTTACCCTTTCATCCATTGAAATCCTGTCATCCATTGATGAATTAAACATTTTATTATCTAATATTGCTTTTATTAAATTATATGAAGTGAACAGCCACTCCATGGAATCGCCATGTACAATTTATGAATTTATCTGTGGTGTCTGTACTATTCTTGAATCTTGCATACTGCAGGCATTGATTTTTTATTAATTTTCAGATATTTAAATTGCGCTTTTTGTATAACAGTTGTAGAGGAATTAAAAAGGTCTAGTAAAGACGAAACTAGTTTTCCTCAAACAAATCTTGTATTTTCTGTGCGTCGAAGGTACCCTGGTTCCAGAGGCTTGTCTTTACTTTTTTGCTACTATGTTTATCGATCTGCAAAGCGGTGAGGCGTTTCCGTTAATCGGAAACACCAAAGGCAAAAAAAAAAACAGACCAATTAACGGAAACGTCTCGCCACTTTGTGGCTCGATTTATAAACATAGTAGCAAAAGACACGCCTCTGGAACCAGGATATGTCGAAGGAGGGATAACAGTTATTTGACATCCTCTAAAATGAAGTTTAGARACTCCTTTAAAATCCAAATCCAACAAATGTCAATAAATTCATTCCGTTAACTTCATTCTGTTGTCTTCTCAGTATTGTGGCAACACCTGGTCGTTTTCTTCATGTCATTACTGAAATGGACCTTAAGTTATCGTCTGTGGAATATGTTGTCTTTGATGAAGCAGATAGGTATGTAGTAAGTGGCATATCCAGATTTTTTCAAATCTGAATTGAATGCTCTTTAACTGAGTCATGGTTTTCATCCTTGTACTGTAAATGTGATTGAGTATTGTCCTGCTCTTAATATGATCATTATTGTTTTGGAAATTTATCTTATTATCAACTCTATTAAGACTCTTTGAGTTGGGGTTTGCTGAACAGCTTCATGAAATCATTCACAAACTTCCTGATGCAAGGTTTGTAGTATAATTCAATAACTCTGTCAGTTTTCTCTTGGATAATAATTCCAGCTGTTGAAAGTTCAAATAGAAATTGGTGCATAAAAAGTGATCAATTGTTTAATAATTGAATCCCTTTTTTCATGCAGACAAACTCTACTTTTCTCTGCCACACTACCAAGACTTCTTGTAGACTTTGCCAAGGCTGGTAAGAAAGGTTTCATTGAGAATTGATAATTGGGCTCTGTCCTTCAGAAGAATATTATATTAATTTCTTAGCCCTCTGTTGTTGTTGTTGTTTTCAATGCTCTGAAAATGTGATTTATTTTTTTCACTTCAGGTTTGACAGACCCAACTCTCATTCGCTTAGACGTTGACTCAAAAATAAGTGATCAGTTAAAGGTTTGATTTATGATGCTTATTATTATTAGTTATTATAAATAATTATAATTTGCCTAGCATTCTCTAGAACGTATTGCTGGTTTTCAGACATGTACTGTAATTCAGTACTGACATCTTGACTATGGAACCTAGTCATGTGATACAGCTATTTCAAAAAACGTTGTCGGGGAGAACGGCGAACGGCGATTGTCGATTGCAAGACCGAAATGGAGTATGGTTACACTGTTTTGATAAACGAAATTTCTCTTATTGGATTCACCTTTCATAGAAATGGAGACTAAATGGAGCCAATGTTTACCACAGACCATCTTACAGTACAAATCAGCTGTTATCTCATTTCACCAAGCAAAACCCATTGCTACTTTCGGTCGTACAATCGCCGTTCGACAATTGACATTCGCCAATTTATCCGACAATCTTTAATTTTTGAAATAGCTATATATCAAAAGCATCAGAACCTTGAGGAGTTCTATTTTATGCCTTTGACGCTAAATGAGTTTGCCATGAGTGGTCCTTTTAGATTTGCAAACATTTGTTTTTTAAAAAAAAGATTAAAATCTTTTATTCAGATGGTCTTTCTTCACTGCAGAGCAGATGACAAACAAGGTAAGATTTTAGCCTCCTACACAGCCATTATTRTGAGTTGTTGTTTC